CCCTGGTGCTGCGCTGCTCGCCCGCCCGCCCCCTGTCCCTGCGGGTCCCTCCTGGCGAGGCCCACACGGAGGCGGGTGGCGGCCCACGCGCTCTCAGTGTGCCCTTCCCGCTCCTGCACTTGGGGAGGCCCTGGTCTTTGTGAACGCCCTGTGCCCGCCCGCGCTCCCGCTCTCGCGGTTGGGGTGGGCAGCCAGCTTGGCGGGCCAGGGCCTGGGCCCCCTCACCGGGCTGGAGAGGTCACACTTGGGCTGGCGTCTCCGCCTGCGAGGTCCCAGCTCTGGAGTCCCCCTGGCGTGGAGGCCCGCTGGAGCCGCCTCGCACTGCAGAAGGCGCCCACCCAGGCCTCCGCTGCGGCCTCCGCTCCTTCCTGGCTGCATCAGAGCCCTCAGTGCCCCCCAGGTCCCCGCAGGTTCCGTGGGGGATGTCTGTCAGGGTGGGCCCCGCATTTGTCTGGCGTGAGGGGACACTCATGCTGTGTGACATTGTCTCTAACAGACCCTGGCTGTCCTACCAACTAGTTAAGAACTTTCCTAGGCAGGGAGAGTAGAAGAGAAGAGGGCTGGGGAGCAGCGGAACTGCCGCATTCCCCCTGCACTGTCATTTCCCGCTGTCCGGGATGGTTTGAAGTTTAAGCACTAACATACCCAACTCAACAAAAGGGGATATGCTCCCAGAAAGTAGTGAGTTTCAGGACCTTGAAAAAATGATCCCTATGAGGGGTCAGTCAGTCAGGAGTTTTTAGAAAACAGTTTACTCGGCGCTGGGTTATACAGTTCATAAACACTGAAGATAGAAACTTCCAGCAGGGTGTTTTTAAGTCAAAGAGAAGGTCCTCACGTGAAGGAGACCATTTGACCCCAGCTGAGCCTGGTTTTACTTGGAGCAACGGGAAGGAGTGGAGTTGACATCTTGGTCGAGATGCCAGAAAAAGGGTTGTGAGTCCTGAGGCAAAGTGAGGCTGAAATCCCAACACAAGTGACAGGGCCCAAGCCCCTTAGTGGTTAGTCCTAGTCTTTCCCACTGGAAGGTCGCAGCGGGGTTCCCCGAGCTGCGAATGAAGAGTTCAGTTTTCCTACAGACATGGAAGGGTGGGGGAACTGTCGGAAATGCCTATAAGTGCAAGTCTTTGAAGTGCCTTTCTTTTGATGGGACTCTAACTTTCTTCTTTGCCTTGGGAGGTTTAGCCACTATGCTACCTAAGGATAGGATTCTGAATTTTTCAAAGTTCTTGAATAGTATGAGGAAATTGTTCATTTCACTCCCTGAAGGGAACATTCTGGGGTGTGCCTAGCAGAATAGGAAAGGAGTGGATTCCTCCTATGTCCAAACCCCAAACGCTTGTACACACCACACCACGAGAGGAGAGCGCTCGGTGGTCCCGCCATGTCCTTTCTTGTCACACGTCAACAAGAAGGAACTTTGTAAACTTGTGAACAGTCGTTTAAAAATAATCGCCGGGAAGCTGCCCCCCTTCTGTCCTCTGTTTACTTATAAACTACCTTTATTGATTGATTTTTAGTCTTGAAGTTAGGGATGGCTTTAAACTTGGCTATGTTTAACCAGATACTGCGAGAAGTAAAATGGAACTTTACTTTTCTGGTTTCCTCTTAGGGATTTGAATGGAAATAACATCACACGGATTACAAAGACAGACTTCGCTGGCCTCAGACACCTGAGAGTTCTGTAAGTGTTCTTTCTCTGTGTCGTGGACTGGTTTTGTTTCTCTGTTTCGGAAGTTGCATATATTGCATCACTGTTAGTCTCAGGTTGTAAACCTATTCCAATGACAGCGACAGAAAAATTTCTAAGGGTTTCGGTTTCCTTTCTTTTTTTGTCATTGTACTGGAACTTTTAGTAAAAATGTGGGCTTTTGTCTTAAGATTGGATGCATGCCATTGAAACAGTGCTATAGAAATGACCTCAAATCTTTGTATATCGGACCCTAAGTGCCTCATGCAAATAAAAATGTAGAATAATTGCTTTCACAGTATGAATAAGTAATGAGAAAGACATTCGATACTTTTAGGGGTTGATTTTAGCTAGCAAAAATATAAGCAGATCTTTTATCATATGACTAAGATCAAAATGTTCAAACTTTTAAAGCAAAGAATAATTAGATGTAATTTCTAACATTAAATCAAGCAATCCATCTTTTGAGCAGTTGGAAAATCATTTATCTGTAAAAATATGTTGGCTCTAATTCAGTTGTTTCTTATATTTATATACTTTTGACTTTTGTAAATTTGTTACAGCATGATCCTTTAATTAGTGGGATCAGTTAACTGCGAGAAAACCTTCACTTGAGAGTCAATGTCGTGTAAAATTGTTTTCAGCCAGAGGAGTATAAATATTTACATCCCAGTGGGCATATGCTTCTGACCACTGCGTGCTCACTGTTTATTTCTTAAGAGACGTATTTTGGCCGTTAGGAATTCTTGCACTTGCTGGTGTGTCTCCCCACGCCAGGACTGAAGTGTGTGTCTGAGAAGTCACTAGACACTGATTCTCCAGTTAAGAAATGGATGGGAAATCGGTGTACCAAAACACAGCAATCAGAGCTGCAGTGTTGTGGGTTGCTTTTCAGAGGTAGTGTTGTCTACGTGTTCGTTTCCTCTCGTACGTCTGCTGAGAAACGGCATTCGTGTCTCCCATGAAAGTTCTGTGATGTCTGCAGTCTCCCCCCCTCGAGGTCTCGCTGCTACGTCATCATTAAGTTTCGTATTAGATCTCAAATCAGAGCAAAAGTTTACTGCGTGAAGTGAAAGAGGTGACGCGTTTCCAGTTGCTAAAGTGAAACTTCCTCTGCTGGGTGGTGACATTAAGCACGTTTTGTTTTGCCTTTCAGTCAGCTCATGGAGAATAAGATTAGCACCATCGAAAGAGGAGCATTCCAGGATCTTAAAGAACTGGAAAGACTGTAAGTATTTCCGATGCCAAACTTATGACAACATATCTGTATTTTTTTCAATATTTAAGGGTCATGGCTTCAATTTCAAGTGTTAGCTGAGGAAAGTTTACAGAGAAGGGAGATGAGTAACTGTTCTTCAGACTGATTTGCAAGCGGAACTTTTTGCAATAAGCACGAACTTGTAACAAAGCTCAAAAATGCAAGTTGATTTTCCTGAGACATTTTCTTGATGACTGTTGCTTTGATATTTAGAGATGCACATAAGTTCCCAATTTCTCACCTAGCTTGTTGCATTTGCTCATATAAAGAAAGGTGGTGATTTTATTTGAATTTCTGTTGCATATGGAAAGAGAAGTTTCGCTGCTAGTTATGTTCCATTCTGTGCTGTTTCTTTGTGTCATTACTGACAATTGAAGAAATATTTAAAATTCTTTCTGAAAGATTTGCTTTTCGATATTTAACACTCGTGGTAAGCATCATTAATAACTGGCATTTACAGTTTTATTTCATTATTTTGTAGTAGTTTTAAAAATATTTCTGCTGAAAAAAGTTGGAAATTATTAATAAGAACCATGTTATCAAAGTGGGACTATTACTTTTCCAAAAAGAATTAAATGTCGACTTTAGACTTTAAGACTTTTTTTTCAGAAACAAAGTCTTATGAATTGATAAATATTATTCAAGACAGTTTTAAAAATTACAGTATATGTCCACAAAAAGCAAAATATCTATCTAAAATAATTAGGAAAAATTATAGACTTTGTAATATAAGGTATGGATTCTAGGCCTTGTATGTCAGTTATTCAAGTTTGTTAGGTTTGTATTTTAAAGGCAAGTAAAAGTTCTATTAAAAGTTACCACAGTTATTTTAATAAGTTTCCATGCCTAATTTAATAATCACTTTGGGTAAAAATTTTTAAAAAGATATTTAAAATAATGAGATATGATGTTCATTTTCAGTATAAAATATTCTGGTTCACTGGACCCAGGGACAAAAGTTAATTCTGTATAATTGACCAAAGTGGGAAAATGGCTTGTTAACTTCTAAGATATTTGTAAATATACGGGTTCCATTTTTTAGCACTTTGAGTAAAACACAGCGATGTCTACTTTATTTTACTATACAACTTTATCCATGATAAATATGAAATATAACTGTGAATTTAAAATAACTTTAAAAATCCCTACTTTGATCTAGTCTAGGAGAACTAAAAAACAAGATAAACATTTGACTGAGTTCATGTAAGGTTCTTAAGTTCGTAAACTTATCTTTAAGTCTATAAAACACTCTGTAAGTATTTATTCTTTGATCTTCTTTATGGGTTTTCCTAAATAACTAATTCCTACTGAGTAACTGGGCAAAATGTTTTTAATCCACCTATTTAGAAAAGTTATCAATATAATGTAAATATTTCACAAGATGAATAGATACTTCCAGTTATTGCAGCATCCAGTGTTTTCCAAGAATAACTTAGAGCCATCACATGGAAATATCTGTATTTTTGTTCTTAACTTCCAAAACACTGAGGGAGGTGTGGGTCGTGTTCCAGCAGTCTCTTGTTGTTGGGTTCTGTTGTAGTTTTAAATGTTTTCAGGAACTCTGTAACGAAACACACTTTCTCATTATTTTTCAAACCACTTCAGAGTATCACTTGAACTTTCATCTTGAATAAATTAACTTTTCCTACCAATTATTAACCAGATGCCTCAAGATTCGAAATTCGATTAGAGTGGAAGTAGGTACTAGTTTCGGACTTTCGCTTCCCCAGGGAATGTCACTTCATTTCAGAACAATTTTCTACTAAGACCAAGTCAGATGTTTCAGAGTGGGAGGAGGACTTGTAATTTTGAATGAAAACTAATATATATGCAGGACGTCTTTAAATCAGCCCAGCTGCTGGCTGAGAGCAAATATTTCATATTTGTGAGGAAAAGCTGAGAAAATTCCTTTTGTAAACAACTGCCAAGTCCATCTGATGGAGCCACATTGTTATCTGACAGCCAATCCATCTCCTTGGGACTCTGGAATTCAAAACCATTCCTTAGGAACATTGTGGATACACTTTTCAAATATTTATTTTTTAAAAATACATTAGATGGCAGGACAGTTTTGCCAAAGAATGCATTCAACTTATTGTGAAGCCAGCTATCTTAAATTTTGTTCAGTTATATAATTAAAAGGAAAAAACAGTCCAGAGAGTTCCATAATCACATTAGCAGGGCCTAGGGTATACTTTTATTGTAGTTCGTGTCATCAACACCACAAAATTTGCTGTATTTTTTTTTGTTTCTTTCTTTCTTTTTTTTTTTTCCCCCAAAAGCTGCAAGAGGCAATGTGAGAGACAAGAAAAAAGTCAGTGAATTGACTTTTAATTATGGATTGTGTGATATCTGGTCTTTAACAAATTCAACGTGAAATTTTACATTGGAGCTCTAAATTAGCAAAAGGTGCATAAATGCAGGTTTATGTTGTAAATGCTGCTCTACAGAGAATGGTGACAGTTTTCATTCCCCGTATGAGGAGCAAAATAAAATTGAAACGTTCATTTTACCTGTGCCTAATGATGGTTCCAAGTCGTTTTCATTTGGAAATGATAACACAGTTCCAAATAATACTTTGTGACTATGTCCGAGTTATGTTTTTTCCTCCTTATTTTGTGCCGATGGCGTTTTCACTTGAGCTACTGAAGACAAACGTGAGAACAGAAGACAGCATCCCTGCCTTTTCGGAAATTCGGCTTTTTAATCTAGGAGACGTAGCGCCATGCTATTAAATCGACTCAAATCTTAGCATGGAATGCGAAAGTATTAGTCACCGCAAACGTTACAGCTACAAAAGAAAGTCATGTTCTCCACTTCAAAGCATGATTGTCGTGCAGAATATTCAGTCAGATGTCAAGACGTAGAGGAATGTTAAAGTCCTTCCTTCCCCTGCCTCTTCTCTCTCCTTCCTCTTGCTTCTCCGCTCCCGCCCTCTCTCCATCTCTCTCTTCTCTTTTCTTTCCTTCGTATGGAGAACATGGCAGTGACCCTCACTGGGAAGCAGTCATGGGTCCTTGCTCGGCCCGTGCCAGACCACACGCTTCTCCCGCATCAGGGGTGTGCGTCTGTGCCCCCGGACCCCGCGCGTGCATGACCGGCTCTCGAGGACGGCTGCATTGCCCACAGATCCTGTGTCCACGGGGAGAAAAGGGACCCTGGAGAACATGCCATTTGCAGCTTCCACGAGCAGGTCTCCTACATTTAGTCAGAATCTCCAAATGAAAACAAATGTGGTTAAAGTAACCAGTGACTGCCACAGAGATGAATTCAGCCAAAGCGAACTACAGATAAGCTATGATAAAGAATCAGGACGCTCGGGACCAGCAGGTGGCGTAAGGATTATGTCACTGGACTCACATGTTGTCGACCGCAGTTCGAGTCCTGGAACCAGCAGCTGAAAACTCTAGTCTGGCATGTGTGCATGTGTGCCTAAAAATCCTGAGAGGAGAGTGGAGGGGTGGGGGGGTTGCAGCATGGCCATCCCCCTTGGAGGGGTGATGTCTCATTTCCGTCTCTCTCTGTCTCTCTCTGTCTCTCTGGCGAGTGCACATGCCCTATAGCAAAACTCTCTCTCTCAAAAAAAAAAAAAATCAGGACACTCATGAAGGAAACTTCTTTTTATATTTCACAGAAGATACTGTGTATACTGCAGTGGATTCTCCATGCAAAATCATGCGAGATACTTTTACTTGTACATAATATTCTAGGGGGTTACAAAATAGCTTGGGAACCCAGGAATTCCATGGACTGGTGTAAAATTCTTTCTTCAATAATAGTTCATGGGGTTATGTTGTAGTCATTAAGTTCTATTTTATGGCTTTTTAGGGAGGCCCAGACTAAATCAGGATTCCACTTGAAAAAAATCAACTTCTCTTTTTGAAAGTTCTTTGAAACCCAAACGGAAGAGTCTGAGAACATTTTTGATCATTTTTAGGGCTGTTGTTTTTAGTATATTTTGGTATTTCCTCCAAAACTGTACAAATGAAATGGATAATGAAAACTGAATTGCATGAAAAAAAATGTATGGATTTCAACATTTTTGGCACCAAAATAAACTCATAGTTTAATTCTGTTTTCCATGGGTTTTTGAAGTCTCCTCGTATACTCCTAGATTACCTTATGAGACCCTATAGCAGACCGTGAAAAGTCTGGGTGTTTAGCTTTGCACCATCACCATAACCATTTTCTCCCCTTACAATACGGAAATTTGCAGAAATGATAAAGGCAAGCAAGTGGGCTGGTCATTTCTGCCAGTAATATGTAAATGTGTATTTTAAACAGATACTGCTTTAAATGCTTCCATTTTAGTATCTTTGGATTAAAAATGACATTTTTTTCCCTGCTAGCTAAGTCCTTTGATACTCATTGTTGTGTAAACAATGAATCCTGAAAAATATTACTATTATGGAAACTTGTAAGGAGTCCTGAAAAGTAAACCTGTTAACTTAGATGTTTTAAAGTTTCTACCAAGTCAATGTGAAGGAAATTTTAATTTAGAAAAATCTAAATCTCAACCTAGTGGATCTTAAATGCGGTGAAACACAACCTTTCATGAAAGGATATCTAAAAGGCACTTTTCTTTTCTCTTTTAAAAAGATGGTGGGGGCGGCTAGCAGGTGGTGTGGTGCTTAAGGACACTGGACACCCACATGGCCGACCGCGGTTCGAGTCCTGGACCTGATGGCTTGCTTTCTCACTTTCTCTCTCTCTCTCCCCATCAGTCTAGCTCTCGCTCATGCTGTCCCTCTCTGGCCAAATTAAAAAATAAATAAAGTTAAAATAAAAGAATTCTTTAAAAAAAAATCATCCATCCACCGTTTGTGAATACGTGAAGACGGGGTGAGGCTCAGGAGCTGTGACCCGGTGTTTCTGCAGTCGCTGCGTGTGAGTTCAGGCAGGGAGTATGCTGTTGAACAGGTCTGGGAGGAAGCAGCATTTAGCTTCTGTTCATCACGGATGTGGAGAAC